AGAGAGAGAGAGAGAGAGAGAGAGAGAGAGAGAGAGAGATTAGACATATATTATTATAATTAAATAATTAATGAAATTAAAAGTCTCTGGTATTTGAAGTGAAATTGCATTTTCAGGCTCCGAGTGATAGACGCATAAAAATATATGTATGAATATTTTCCGTGAATTTTTAATTAGCGCTAATGAATGATGAAAAACACTAACAAACATAAAGTGTGTGACAAATATTTGCTGTTATGTATTGAATAGTAAATTAATTTTATTAAGTGAATGAAAATGAAGCTAATAATAGAAATTAATTTAATTTAAATAAATTTAATTAATGCATTACTTTGCATAAGGCTTGAAAGTCCACAATTTTGTGTTTGCACATTCTGTGCGCCATAATATTATAATTGACAAGCATAATATTGTATAATATAGTACATAAATTATTTAAAAATTAAACAAGGTTTCTAATATGAGTTTGTAATTACAAACATAGCTTATCTAATTTAAAATATAATTTAAAAAAATTTCTAAGATTATATATTGTATTTTATAACTAAGAGAGGTCACTCTCCAATCGGTGCAGTAATACCAGAATAAACTCAATAAACTGTAATTTGCACAATAAAAATAGGTTTCCTTTTAAATTTTCTACACTAATTACTCGAATCGAAGCAATTATTTTAATTAAAAACTCATTTTTGCATCAATTTCTATGTTATCATTGTTGTTATCTGAGAGAATTTAATTATAATATGATATACAATATTATAATTGCATTAAAAGTAACTTACAGTATACAGAATCTACAATAGTATACCATAAGACAACCAAAATTCTGTATGTGTTAAATAATAACTTTGTATATAATATTTATATAAAATAAGTGGCAAAAATAAATTGATATGTTATGTTTGCATGACATTTATGCCGTTCAAACCCAATTAGCCCAGCATTTATTGAACTCCAGGGTCGCATAAAGTAGAGAGATAAATATTTTGTTGTTGCCTCGATATTTATGCCATAATAGGTTAAACAAAAAAAAAGCACTTAAATATTTATGTGCCGGATAAAATAATTCTAAAAATACATCGTAATTTGAAGTGAGACATAAAAATGTATAATAATTTCTTACGACATACCCTGTGCAGCCAAAATGAGACCCAGGATATTATCACAATAAGACTCGCCGGTATATAAATTTGTATTAAATAATAACCCATTGAACGCACGAACTCTATCTCACACACGAGTCTCGAGTAATTACCTGTGAATACAAGAATCAAAGTAAATATTTACGGAATATTCTGTGCGATCACATTAATTATGGATTATCTTGTTTGCAGGTACTGTACTGTGTATACAGTAATATGTATGAGGGGATTAGTGTATACATACCGGTGCTGAGCACCTCGATCTTCTGCATCTGCTTATGGCCTTTGACTTTGAATTGCGGTAACTCTACGGCTGCTAATTGAACGGCTTTTTTGCAGTCATCGCCGCAATCGATACCCCATCTGTACTGTATGTCTGCCATTGAATAGCCATCTGTGTTATGATAATCACGATATGAAATGGAAAATAATATATTGCATTAGATTTGATGTCATTTTCTGTTGAAAAACTACTATTTCTTAAAAATATAGATATGTTTTTCTATTGAAAGAGAAATACGAGATGAAAAAGATATATAAAACTACTTTTTCTAAGATCACATAATAATAGAATTTTTAGGCTTTCAATTGTATGACATTATTCTTATATAGATTTGGATTTCCCGATGCTTTTTGTGTTCAATTATTTATATTTATATTGTATTTGTATACCTTACATATAATATAATATTCTTTAATGTATTTATACTTTGTATAGTGTATTATAATTTGCATTAAATAGATATCTTGTTTATAGTATTGAGCGCCAAAAGAGGAAAAATACTTTAAAAATATTTAAAAAAGATAAATATGAATAAAATAATCCTTAGATTTAAGTCTCAAATATATGATTATATAATTCTATCAAATTCTATAGAAAACTTCAAAATTTATTGCAAACCCGGAATAAATTTAAATAATATTTAATAAATAATACAAAAATTGAATTAAAATTGAATATCTTTTTGTTATGATTATACATACAGTAGACATTTAAAGTCGACATTTCTAAATAGTTTAAAAGTTAATACATATAAATGTTTCAAAAACTATTAATAAAAACAAATCCATTTATCCGGGTATTTTTCAGATTAATTCTATTATATTATAAGTATTCTAAGTATTATATTATATGCAATGGTTGGGCCATTATTATTTATTATGTAAATGTTGGAAATTGCAAATAAAACTAGTGAATAGAAAACAATGAATGGGTTATGATTTCCGGTTAAGGTTTTTGCGGTTACTTTGCATTAATATAATATAAAAGATATAAATCTTTTCATATGAATTGTATACTATTTGTGTGCATTTTTATGCATTTAATAGTGAATATGAAAAACATTTATTGATTTTTATCAATCCATTAGAGATGGAATGCATTTCTCTCTCTCTCTCTCTCTCTCTCAATGTCTTATTTAAACTAT